GTCGCGGGGCCGGCCGCTCCTCCGGCCCCAGGATGCAGAATGTGATTAACACAGTGAAGGGAAAGGCACTGGAAGTGGCTGAGTACCTGACCCCGGTCCTCAAGGTAAGCCGGGCCGGGCTTGCCAGGGGCTGTCAGGCACACGCTCCCCTCTGCACGCACCGAGGACCGGGCTCCCGGGGAGTCGCCGGGAAGGTGTAGCAAGGTGGGACCCTGGGAAAGGAGCAGCCACCACCTGTGGTCTCACCCAGCTGTTTTCTAGGGCTCTCCGGCTCTTGGGTGAACTTGCAGCGACGCCCGTGCGTGTCTGTGTCGCCCTCGCCGTCGGAACGCGGCGCGGCTGCGGGGACGTGGGGCTGGAAGGGGGTCCGCAGATGAGTCGATTTCAGAACGTCCAAGCCTAGCGTCGGTAGTCTTTTGAACTTTGAAAACAAAGATTTTGCCTACCTTTAAAAAAATGAAACCAGTGTTTGGTACTAAAATGACATGTCACTCTTCTTGAAATTTCCTAAGTGTTTTTTTATAATTGGGAGTTCGAAGTAAATAGTCAGTGGTGATTGAGATCCCAACTTGGTAGATTTCAAAGGAACGAGGTGAAATTGGCAACATTTCCAGCACCATTGAGCCCAGCTAACACGCAAAGCCTCCCGTTCCCAAGTTTTTTAAATAGCTGAAACTCGTTGTTAATCTTGGACTTAGGTGATCATAAGGAGCAGCTGGACCAGTTATATAACTTTTTACGTTGGCAATACAGCATTTTCAAAGCAAAAATTGTGGCACATTAGCTATTACAGGAGCGACTGATGGTTTTTTTCTTTTCAAAGATAAATTTCTAGAAGTGTATTTGTTTTTATTATGTAATTCTTTTAGAGTAAGGATTTATATTGCAACTGTATTTTTCCTTTCTGAAAAGCGAGCAATGATGTAGTAAATGAATAGCGAGTTCTTGTTTACTGTTTTTTAAAGCTTTCACCTAAAATTTTACAAATCTTAGTGTGGGGATGAAGTATCCTTGGAAATGGTTCGTTCTTTTTATTCAATAAGTTACTCTGCTATGCTAAGAAAAATAGTGGACAGTGTTACTTTGCTCTTTTTCCATGACACATTTTATATTTACTTCTGAAACTGATTTGGACCAAGTTAAAAAAAGTCAGGAAAGGTTATAAATGAGAATTTCATCTCTTGCTATGCTTATATTCATTTCCTGTGAAACCATCTTAGTCGAGATTATTCAGTCAACTTGAACTTGAAAATCATTTTGACAGTTGAATGAAATGATTCTTTTGCATATTATGTCATCTTTTAAGAAAACTGTCTACCTTGGGTGTAGAGCATTTAAATAATACATGATTGTTAAAACTTTTTAGTTTTAGGGAGAAAGGAGCAAGAGAAAAAGACCTCACAAATTAAGTATAAAACTGCTATTTTGTTGGCCAGTTCTGTTTTATTGAATTTATAACATAGAACTGTGTTTTGGGAAATCATTTTACTTTTTCGCGAAATTCACAAGGAAGTGTTGTCAGTATATATTTTTAGTAATAAGGGAAGAAGCATTAATGGCTCTCCTTGCCCTTCCCTGTGCAAACTGTTGGTTCACACAGAGAATACTTATAGTTTCCTACTAGACATGGGAAGGCAAGGAGAAAAAAAAACTAAATCCCTAGGAAAGAAATGATGACTTCTCCCAGCAAGTAAAAATTAAGAAAAGCCATGGTTTGGAAGACATAGGTACAGTAAAAACCAAAGTCTTTACAATGATCTTCAAGCCTCTACTCTATCGGTAGAGAGTCCTGTCGACTGTTATCTATTACACTGTCCCTTGCTCATTTTTGCTTAAGCCAGCCTGACCTATTTTGTTACTCCATCAAGCACTCTCTTGCCCAGGGAGTTTGCCTTTGTCCTTCCCTCTGCCTGAAATGCTCTTCACCCAGACAGCCCTGTGGCTGGTTCCTTTCCTAAGGTCTCTGTTCAGTAATCATCTAGGAGTGAAGTTTTTATTCTCTGTTTTATATAGCCATCCTGTTTTATATAGCCATTCCTCCCTCCACCCCTGACCAGACCAGTTTCCTCTCTGCCTCATTTTTTTCATGGTATTCATTACCATTTGACTTTTCTCCCTCCACTAGAGTTTAAAGTTCTTATGAGGACAAGATGAGTTTGCTCTATTCTATTTACTCCTATACCCCATTAACTCAAATAGTGCCTGGCACATAATTACTCAGTCAATATTTGTTGAATGAATAATGTTTATAAATGAATTTTTGCATTTCTTCAGACTCTACCACAAAATCTTGCATTTATCTTAAAAACTTAGAAATATTTGGTAAATAGCATCCTTGCTTTAGTGACGATAATATTGCATTAGTATCTTGGTGGAGATGAGACTAATGGGAAAGTGAAATGACTAATGACTTCTAGATTTGGTTTCTAATATTATTCTGTTTAAATGAGATGTTGGCTGAATCGTAATATGTCTAAACATCTTTAAGACATTTTTTCTCTTCTGTAAAGATATTGGTGATTTCCCAAAATCATTGTATTGTAATTATTTTCATGTCAGTTTTCTCCATTAGACATGTATATTTCTTTTTTTCTTTAAATATGTTTTTATTGATTTCAGAGAGAGGAAGGGAGAGGTAGAAACATCAATGACAAGAGAGAATCATTGATTGGCTGCCTCCTGCACGCCCCCAACTGGGGATCAAGTCCAAAACCTAGACATGTGCCCTTACCCTGAATGGAACCATGACCTCCAAGTTCATGGGTCAGTGCTCAACTACTGAGTCACACCGGCTGGGCTAGACATGTATATTTCTTGAGGTCAGGTACCAGTGATATATTCTTTTTTTTATGTGCTCCATTGCCTAAAAGGGTGCCAGGCAAACATTTGCCCACAGACTTTTAAAATTGAAAGCGAATGTAGTATAATACAGTTATTCTTTTTGCTCTCTTTAGGAATCAAAGTTTAAGGAAACTGGTGTTATCACCCCAGAAGAGGTGAGTGTTGAAAGTATTCTGAAGCTGTTATATTTTACAATTATATTAAACTGGGTGGCTTTTTTGCTATGTAAGAAAAAAATCTTTAATATTAATGTAGATTTGAGTAAAAGTAGATTCTGTTGACTACATTAGCAGTTTTATGGGGATTTCTGCTTCCCATGGAATAGAAGATGTAACTTCCTCCTTGATTTGCCACTTCTCGTATTTCTCTGTGGTTCCTCTTTATTTAGAAGGGAGGGTGGGAGAGGGAATGGAGAAGATCTGTGGTCGCTTATCCTTCATTCATATTCATGTTATAGTGAGCAGTGGACTCTGCAGTCTTTGTTGTCTTGCCTTTGTCTAACCAAACATGAATTTTCCTGGCTTTCCATTTGGAGACTTTGGTTCACTGCTTGGATATTAAGTTTTCTCTCTGTATAAATATTTTATTTCTACATAATTAGCACGGATTTTTTCCCCTCACCATTCTTTCTCTTTTTCTCCTAACCAAGTAATGTTGAATCTGCTTAATGCTGAAACTAATTGCTATTTTAGAGTCCTATTGAGTTTTATTGAACTTTTAATGTAGAATTATGTTTTAAGGAGTCATTTTACTTGCTCACCAAATCTGTATAATAAAAGTGTTGTCTTTCCTTTAGGTATTTTGTCATCCTTAGAGAAATGAATACTGGTCTAAAAGGCCTTTTAGACTCTAGTTTTATGAATAGTTATAGTTGCATCAGACTTATTTTTTTAGTCTTAATAAATGGCAAAGAATTTATTAAGCTTCACCTTTAACTCTCATTAAAAGTACCACTCATTGGCAATAGAACTTTACTCATTGTTTTGAGAGAAACTTTTTGAAATAAACCTTGTTTTATGATCTGGCTATTGCTTAAATTCTGACACCTCAAGCCAGAGAATTAACTGATCTTTCCATTTTCAGTTGTGATGGAATCTCTTCAGTGCCAAATCCTTGTGAGTTCTAAGAATGAGTTCTAAGAATGATGATCTTTTATCTAAAATTGTCTTTATTTTTAGTGAAGACACATGGAGGTATGGAAAGAACCTAGGAGATCTGCCTTCTAGACCCATTTTCTCTAGTTTCTCCTGTTCTGATTCTGGCAAATCAATTAAGCTAATTAGGCATAGGCTTCATTTTCCTCATTTATAAAATGAGGGGTTATGGCTAAACATTCCCTGAAGGACCCATTCCACCTTAGGCATCATGTGTTTAATACTTTGAATGCCAAATAAAACTAAGTTTTGATCTTAAAGGTCTTAATGTTCTTGTCCAACAAAGGTGTAATATAGACATGGCTCTTGAAACTAAGTATCTGAAGTCAAGAGCAGAGATGGAAGTATGCTGTTCTTTTTGGCTCTTTGGTTTTATCTCTTCTATGTAAAGATGACTAATTACTAAATAGATGGAGTTAGAGATCCATATCAGTGGTCATTGGATAGAATTAAGCTGTTTTAAAACAGCTACTAACCCTAGATTGAATAACTGTTACACTTAATTGTATCATGAAGTAGGTAATACATTTTCCGCTTTTTAGAAAAATGCAAGGCATAACTAGTCCAGCTGCATCCCAGGCACGTAATGCTGGATTGGTATAGAGCACAATTAGAGAATTGAGTTAGATTAGAATGAGTCTAGAGGAGGAAAATGATAAGACATAATTTGATTTAGATAAATACCATACTAAGTTTTTTTTGTTTTCTCTTACTGTTTTTAGGCTTCTGGCTGTCAGCCTCCAGATATCTTTTTGTTTTCATTGACAGGTGTGGAAGTCTTGTGTTTAAAAGAGGGTCAGGCGTTATCCAATGTAGTTTTGTCTATTAAATATAATGTACAACATGTATATGACTTGATTGAATACTATAATAGAGAGTTGCTTCAGAAATAAAGTTGCTCACCAAAATGTTAATATTGATTCAATCTTGTTGGAGTTATTCAATATTATGTAATATTTAGTCACTAAGAAAGCTACTGCAAAAAATGTTGAAAATTTAGAAATTTGAGTTTTTGTCTTACATTTTATTTCACTTGAACATATGAAGCATTTAATAATGGCCATTGCTAGTGAGGACAAATGTACATATGTATTAATCATCAGTACAATTCTATGTATGTACTTTATAGTTTTCCTTACCTTCTAGTCCTTTTGTTATTTTTTAAATAGATGCCACCAGAGTTACATGGAATAAAATATTAGAATCTTGTTACATCAAGGCACTTTCATCAAAGAAGTTTTTTTAATTTTTAATTATTTTGCTTGCATTTTGTTAAATTGCTACTCTTTTGGTGGTGATAAATTAGTTCATGATACCCACAGAGTTAAATATAACATCTGTTCGCAATGTCCTAAAATGCTGAAAACCTGGGGGAGAGAGTATTGTTTTCACTTGGGTTTTTGTCTTTGACCAGTTTAAGTAATAAAAAAGATTCTTTGAAATAAAAGAACAGAAACATTTGTAAAGGTGAAATAAAAGAACATAAACATTTGCTGTTTGGAATACAATGTGAAATCTTGTTATTGTATCTTTTTGGAAAATTACTCTCAATGCTTGCTTTATAGATCTTTACTCTCTCAAGTTAAAATAGAGTATTATATATAGAGGGGCTTTTCTCAGAAAGACATTAGAAAATTAAAGGCATTGTAATTATTTGCTGTGTAATAAACCCATGAACAATACATGATTTTAAGTTAGAGCTGTTGTGAAACAGTAATTGGGAAAGTATGTGTGCATATTGCTTGAGTTGGGACACTGCAGTTCTGCTTAACAGACTTTCATTTTCTGCTCTCAAGAATAAGCAGAATTTCTGTCTTGCAGTAAGATCAGTTCATGTTCATGTATAATGGAAATTCTCAAAAGGTTAAACTGTTTCTTCCTGAGCCTGTTTTTTGTTTTTGAAAATAACAAAAAAAACCCCAAAACCCAGTAAACAAAAACTTGTTCAGTGTCCAGTCTGCCCAGAAAGTCCAAAGTTTGTTAGAGGATTCAGTTTCTTAATTATCTTGGTGTTTTTCAAGTCAGTCCAAAAGCTTCTAACTTTTCCCCCATTGTTTGGTACTACATTTCTCACTGTTGTTAATATTCCTTTAAGAGTGTGAAAAAACCTTCAAAATTGGCTGTTAGCTAAACTTAAAAAGAGAGGGGGGTGGGTTGGGGAAGAAATGTGTTGTAAAAGCCATTCTTACATCAGACATGTATCTATTTAGTAATTTTTTTCAAAGATCTTCATTGAGTTTTCAGCCACTAGGAATGATTTTTGACATTTTGAATCAATCATGTAATGTCAACTTTATACATTTCATGATATTTATGCCTTTGGCATTATTTAATCAAATGATAAAAATTGATTTTAAAGAATAAAAATTAATTTAAACTGTTCCAAAGTTAATTTAAAGTTTTATGGATGTTAAAAATTTTGCAGTTTTAATAATTATAATAAAAAATCTTTGGGGTGGTAGAGCAGATTTGGTGCTGTTTGCATTTAAGTTGATTATTGGGTATCAAAGGTACCCAAGATGATCACTTTAGTATTTTGCCACCTTACATTCAGTAACGTTCGATTTCTGTTTTTCCCTTTTTTCATATTCCTTCTAAATCCTTAATAGTTTGTGGCAGCTGGAGATCACTTAGTTCACCACTGTCCAACATGGCAATGGTAAGTAATCTTGGGTGAAGAATAGACAGTTAGTAAAAGGTATGACTTCATAATTATGGTAGTTTGAAAAATTGGTTAGTACGTGAAAATTAGAATGACCAGTCTAATCCTCTTTAGTAGATTTTCTATTAAACAGTTCCCTGGTGATACTCAGTGTAAAATAAAGGAAGAAAAATTGGGCATTATGCCTCCTTTGTTGTGCTCTGTTAGCACAAAAGATGGATATTTTTAAGATAAATGCCTTCACTTCCTTTACTAATATTCCCTTTCTTTATAGTGTCTTTTAAAAATAATATTCAAGAAATTATAAATTTGATCAGCTCATTCTTTTTTCAAATTAATGGGTATTTATTGAACATTTCTATAACATTAATTAACGCAGAGATTTTGCAGAGTCTTACGTTCTTTAACCATAGACCTTTTATTAAAGTTTTTAAGAACTAACTCAAAAGTTTAAAAGTTTCATAATAATGATTAAGATTGTCATTGGAAATCTGCTGGTAATAGACTTAAAATGTTTTATTTTCCTTATTAACATTTCTCTTAATTATAAAAGTAATATAAGCAACTTAGCTGATCTCATGTATTTTAAATACTTTGAATAGTAACAGAATGCTTTTTAAAAAAATGCAGTTTCATTACTTTCAAGTACTCATGGTAAAGCCACCAGACAGTTGCTGAAAAAGGGATCTCAATACCGGAAGAACTATATTAATTGTTCTAGAATTGTTTGGAATTATCATTTTGTTTGGATATAAATTGTTCAACTTTTTATATCTTTTTTCCATCAATTACACTTATTCAATTTTAGTTGAAAAGCACAATTTTGATTTGGGAGAAGGGTTTCTAGAATTAGCCAGGTTCTAGTTGATAATGTTTTCCTTAATATCTAAAGAGCTTAAAGAATTAAAATATTTTAAACCAGAATTGGAACTCTCTTTCATCTGTGGCCTATTCTTTTCCCCTTAATTTTTATATTTAACACATACCCCAAACAGTTGTTAATGCTTATTATCAGTTGCTCTTCATCTTTTGTAGGGGTCGGGAAGCTTTTTTCTGCCAAGGGCCATTTGGATATTTATAACATCATTCAAGGGCCATACAAAATTATCAACTTAAAAATTAGCTATGAAAAAAGCTCCTAGATTTATTGAATTTCAAATCCTCCCTGCAGTTGCCTTGGCAGGGCCAGATCAAATGATTTTGTGGGACGTATACAGCCTGTGGGCCAGATGTTCCCCATCCCTGTTTTAGAGCATTGTTTCTTAAGTATCAAGGCCAAAATGTCAGATTTATTTATTTTTATGTCCTTGACTTTCCTACATGTATTTCTGTCCTTATTTAAAACTGAGTTAATACTATAGAAACACTCTCTGATTTAGTAAGAGTGGTTGACTTTCTTTCCTCTATCCTAAATTATAAGGTAAAACTATATTTAGCTAGTTTTGGTCTATATTTCATATAATTTTAAAAGTCAAATAGGTATATAAAGTGTAAAATAATATTCATTTTGTAAAGGTAACTAATTTAGGATTTTCTTCCATATGATAAACTTTTTTTCATATTTCTTTCTAATAGTCCTTAATTATCTAATTTAGACATATGATATATAGTGTTGTTGTAGGGATTATATGTATGGACAGGATCTTCTTTTAGCAGATGGTAGTTTATAGTTCTACTTTATGAGTTGTGATGGTTGAAATAATTTCATTTTTAACTTAGAACTCAGTTATACCCCACTCCATTGTCCATGCTTCCAGCTGAACTACTGAGGCCAAATGAACTATTTATTTTAAATCAGTGCTTGAAACAGAATATTTCCATGCTGTACTTTCATGTCTACAGGTGCTATCATGATTTTATTATGTCTTCTTCCCTCAGAAATTCAGGCATTGCCATGACATTGTTGAATTTGACATTTGGGAAAGTTCCAAGGATGCTTAGAAGGCTATCTGGCTTTATTTTGTATTCAAATAGATGGTTTGAACTTTAGATTGAAGCTTGAGAAGGCAGCAGGACTCCAAATTTATTCTCATGTGTTTGTGATAGACCTCATATGCCACCCCAGCTCTCGCCAGTTTCAGTAGGTGACCCACAAAAGATTCTTTGAGCAAATTCTTAAGGAGATATTCCAGAGAATCACTAAAAAAATCAGAAATGACCCACAGAGGGCATAGTGTTTAAAAGCAGGAGCCCTGGCCTCACTTGGCATGATCCTGGCTTTTCCACCTTCTGGTTTTGTGACTCTGGGCAGTCTTTTTAAAACTCTTGTTTACTTACCTATATAAAGGGGATTTTAGTGTTACCCACCTGTTAGGGTTCTGAGGATTAAATAAAAATAATGCAAGTTAGCTCTGGCCAGTGGCTCAGTTGGTTGGAGTGTCATCCCGTACACCAAAAGGTTGCAGATTAGCTTCCTGGTCAGGGCACATCCCTAGGTTGTGGGTTCGTTCCCTAGTGAGATTGCATATGGGAGACAACTGATCAATGTTTATGTCTCATATCAATGTTTCTCTCTCTAAAATCAATAAAAACATCCTCGGATGAGGATAAGAAAATAATGCATGTTAGAGTTCTAAATTCTATATTTAATAAGCACTCAGTAAAAGTTTTTTTGTTTGTTTTCAGTTATTCTCAACATTATCATCTTGTGATTCAAAGTATCTTTTTTATATCTTAGTTCCAATTTTAATGGAGTGGTAGAAACAAGGATCTTGCTAACCACCTACTTTGTTACGTAATGTCATGCAGCTGTTTTTCAGCCTCTTGGTCTCAAGATGAGCAATACTTTAGGATTAAAAATTTGAATGAGAGTATACTCACTAAAAACAGCATTTTCTTTTTGTTGAGAGGCAAACATAATAGTCTCTCTATATTCTGTATATTTTGTCTAATATTTAATCCAAATTCTCCTGGGTGTGCTGTCTGCATCTCTTAGTACATTTCATTTATAATATTGCTATGTTCTTTGATGCCCTGGCTTATATCCTTCCTAAAATAGTTTTTTTAAGGTGTGGATTGTGTAGTTTTGAGATTTACATGTGATATCTTCTGTTCTGTCCTTGCTGTTAATTTTTTCTTCTTTGTATTTTGTACTTTTCACTCTTTTTAAAGGGCTACAGGGGAAGAATTGAAAGTGAAGGCATACCTACCAACAGGCAAACAATTTTTGGTCACCAAAAATGGTAAGAATTATTTTGTATATATCAGTAAATTTCGCATAGTTATATATTTTAAAACAACAACAAAAAACCTTAGCACTTACTGACCACTTAGCACTTAATTTGTGCTTAAAGCTGTGCTTGGAAATTTAATGAAGCTCTGGGTTTTCTATTGCTGAGGTATTTTTTTTCTTATTTGATTTTCATCTCCTTCCTTTTTGGTGTTTTGTGTGGTTTTTTTTTTGCCAAAAATGTCTAGTTTTAAGATATGGAAGAAAAGGGCCCTAAGCAGAGTTGTACTTCTTCTAATTGGATTTTTTTAAGTTGACTGTATAATATTTGTAGCTGTTTAACTTTGATCTTTAAATTTAAATTTTTCAAGGAAAATTAAATTGATACTAACTTTGACATCGAAAAGCTCAAAGCTAAATATTTTATTATCCATAATGCCATTGAAAGATTGCCTATAGGTCCAAAAAATGTTTTGAAAACATATGGTATTTTATTTATGAAGTTAATTTGAAAACAACACAAAAAATTTGTTATATTCCCTATCTAATTATGTAACAATACATTGATTTCTATTCTAATTTACCCATTATAGGAAATGGAAAATATGTATAAAATACCAGTTTCTTTCCTACAGTATATTTTTTATTAGGATTAATCATTTATATCCTGCTTGTTTTATTTTAAAAAAATCAGGGTATGTATAGCAATTTATTGACCATACACCATAATGTTTTTACCTTATAATTGCTCAATTTTAGGTTTATATGTATAATACTACTTCTTAATTGACACAGTTGCTATATCAGAAACTTGATACCAATATTGTATAATAGAATAAAATTTAGCAGTGAATTTTACACTGTTTTATCCATTATGAATAGCTGGAGGTCACCTTTACCACCTCTGAGAGTGACAGGTGGTGCCTTCATGTTCTAAGAGTAAAAGCTATTAAAATAAGGTATTATTCATTAGCCTGAAGTTGAACAATGTCATATCTGGCTTCAGCTTGCAGTTTTCACAGACCATCAGGGTAAAGAATTTACAGAACACTTCCAGTAGAGCCTTTCTACTTGTCTTCTAAAAACAAGCTATTTAGGGAAAGTTAAGTTTGTTCAAATAATTATGTGTCTGTGGGCTGAATATAACTCTTTAATTAATCATTTTCATTAGAAGTGAAGTGTAATATTCTCTTAATATTTTGGTGGCCAAAATATATTTTATGGTATAAACTTTACCTTTTTAAAAAATAGATTTATAGGAAGCAGGTTATGTGCTTCTAACTGTATTTGCCATTTTTTATAGTGCCATGCTACAAGCGGTGCAAGCAGATGGAATATTCAGATGAATTGGAAGCTATCATTGAAGAAGATGATGGTGATGGAGGATGGGTAGATACTTATCATAACACAGGTAAGAGGCGAATAGAATGACATACATTTAGTTTAAAATTTTTTAAAATTATTTTGCAATGTTTTCTAACAGCTTTGATTTAAAGCAAAACAAAACAAAAAGAAGAGCATATATAAGGCACAGTAGACTTTTACAAGAAAAGAAGCAGGAGGACAAATTAGAAAAAAAATCCTCTTGGAGTGTATCATATTTCTGTACTCTACTGCTTCTTAAGTAGCAATTTGAAAAATACCATATTATTGTCTTTATTTCTAAAGAAAGCCAATTAGAAATACTGAGTATACGACCCTGGCCAGATAGCTCAGTTGGTTAGAGCCTCATCTTGTTATGCCAAGGTTGTGGGTTCAATCCCGAATGAGGGCACTTACAAGAATCAGCCAATGAATGCATAGATGGGTGAGCAGCAGATCGTGTTTCTTTCTCCCCTCTCTCTCCCTTCATCCATCCCTGCCTCCCTCCCTCCCTCTCTCTGTTCCTCTCTCTTTAGAATCAATCAATTAAAATGAAATAGGAAGAGAGAAAAAAAGAAAAAGAAAGAAAGACTAAGTATGCATACTACTTTGCTTTGAGTCCCTGTTTACATGTCATTCCATTGCTGGATGATGAGCTTTAGGACAGGAACCATACTCTACTCATATTCACTTTACTCAAACAGTTGGCATTTAAAAGTATTTAATAATTGTTTGTCGAATGACTACTAAGAGGTTTGTAAGGACTATAAGGACCATAAAGGTAGAGATTCATTGTTGAATCTTCAGTATCTATATAGTATCTGGTAATAAAAGTTGTAGAACAAATTTTTGTTAAAGGATTTGACTAAATTTAAGCCATTCATAAGTGTATGTTTGTATAAGTTGTTTGGAACTCTGAATATGATTTTTTTTATTCCAAGTCCTAAAAACCTATTTTACCACTGTATTTATATTAACTATGTAAAACCATATTATTATGTGCTGCTATAGCTAACTACCACTTATGACTTAGTTTTAATGAAGAAAGTATGTTCTGAGTTTAAATCTAGGATACTAAAAATAAATTTTCTCCCTCTAAGCCCTAGAGAGTGGGAGGTGTACCAAAAGTAGTGGTAGAGCAGGGTTTCTCAACTTTAGCACTATTAACATTTTGGGCGGGGTAATTCCTTGTTGTAGTATTTTCTGTACAATGCAGAATGTTTAGCAGTATCTCTGGGTAGTACCCACTAGATGCCAGTAGATTTCTACCAGTCGTGACAACCAAAAGTGCCTCCAGGTACTGCCAAATATTCCATGAAAGGCAAAATTGCTCCCCTTAGTTGAGACCTACTGCAGTACACAGAGGCTAAGTAATCTGCCCTGGAAGAAGAACCTTGTTATGTCAGTTTCTCCTCTACTCTGGATAAGGGACACTGCTATCTGTTTATTTATAGTGATAACAGGCACAGGTTTAGGACTTGGGCTCCTTGATTTGAAACTCACTCGTTTCTTAATGAGTTGGATGTTGTTATGTCAAGTCCTAAAGAAAATAGCAGGTTGAACAACTTTTTAAACTAATTTCAAAAATCATCCTCTTTTGCCCACTTCTTTATTTTCCATCATTTCCAAAAATCATTCAGCTGTTCTGCTTTAGTTTTCCCCTGACTGGAAGTTTGGGCAGCACATCCATAGGAAATTATCTGTTGACTGACTAGAGCCATCGGTTATAGCCCTATATTTCTGATGTAAAGTTAATGAGTTAGTTACTCTGTTGTCTAGTTGTATTGTATTCCGTAATTACTATCCTAAAATCTGGTTGTATATTTACAAAAGCATTCATTACAGAGATAAGTAGGTGTCATTATGATTGGATTGACAAAAATCTTTTACAGAAAATTGACAATGAAAAGAAATGGTTGCTCTGCTGGCGACAAGTAACGTTTTCATGTATGGAAAACAACTTAGTATTCTACTGCAGTTAATATGATATGCGTAATAAATAACTAATGTTTATGAGAGATACCCTTAGAATTTCAGGTTTAAACTATATCCTGATTTGATTAAAACAGTGCTTCTACTGACTCACAAGGTCAGATACCTAGTTCCTTGTCACCTCAGGGTGTTTTTGCTTCATCTGTGCTTCACTTCTTTCAGGTTCCTTTGATTTCCCTTAGCTCTTGTATTAGTCATGGTTCTACAGAGAAACAGGATCAACAGAATGTGGATATGGATATAGGTATAGATAGATTTATTTTGAGGAATTGGCTTATGTGATTGTGGGAGCTTGCAAGTCTGAAGTTTATAGGGCAGGCTTTCCAGTAGGCTGAAGACCCCGGTAATGGTTGATTGCTGCATCTCAAGTCTAAAGGCGTTTTGGAGGCAGAATTCCTTCTTCCTGAGGAACTCAAGTCTTGTTTTTTTAAGGCCTTAAGTTATTGGATGAGGCCCTCCCACATTATGGAGGATAGTAATCTGATTTATTCAGAATCTACTGATTTAAATGTTAATAACATCTAAAAAAAAAACCTGCACAGCTACATTTAGCCTGGTGTTTGACCAAATATCTGGACACAATAACCTAGCCAAGTTGATGTAAAATTAACCATCAAATTAACCATCATAGCCCTTATCCTCGTTAGAGTCACTTGTACTTTTTTTTTTCTCCAATATGTCCTACTTTTAGAAAAGTTTGTTTTAATGGAATACTACATCATATTTAGACAGGTTGAAGAGGTTTATTTTCTTTGTTTCTATATACTGGATTCAGTGAATTGTTTTATAATACCAATACAATATGTTAAGATTTGGTTTTTGCTGTTATGAAGTAATCATACTTATTATATAGTAAGTTTTAGAAAAAATATTATGAAGTAAAAGCTCTGTGCTTGAGTTGTGAATTGTAGCATTTTCCATTTGTGAAAGTGAGTCATGTTTTGGTTTTGACATACTGAACAGATATATCAAGATTTTAGAAGATAACAAAGGAGCAAAGCATATTTTTTATGTAGGGTTTTTTCCTTCTGTATTTTCATCCTTATTGAACTGAGAACATTGACATATATTTTGAATTAGAAATACTGTTTAGCCGACTTGTTCTGATATGTGCTTAATGCCACCTTCATTGAGTCAAGTAAGTTCTGAGGTAGTTGCTTAATCAGGTGCAGTGGTTAGAGCATTCAACCGAAAGTCAGAATGTGTGTATTTGAATCCCAGTATCTCATTTAACTGGCTGTGAGACTCAAGCAAGTTACTTTACCTCTCTGGAGACTTTATTTCTTCGTAGGGACAAATTACCCTAATTATCACATAAGACAGTGTTTGTAAGGATTGAATAAGATGTGGAAACAAGTAAAATAGAAAGCCCCACATAAATGTGATATGGTATTAGTACTTCTGGGTGTCCTAGGTTTCTGAAGCAAATGACATATTAATATAACTAATACCTTGTTGAGAAAATTTTGATGCAGATTTAAATAAAATACAAATGTTAGTCCTATAGTCTTAATCTCTTCATTTCTGAGGATGGATATGTATTTTGATAGAGTCTCACAAGGAAAGTAAATGAATGAGGAATGATGGAATAGGATAATTCATGGTAAAATATCGAATTGGTATGTTTTTTATCTTTTTTATTTGAGAAGTACCTTTGGGATTATTTATTCCTATTAGAATTCATTTGTAAAAATGCTGCTTGCATGGCCTCCTCATTTCAGGTCAGTTGTGAAAATTTAGATAATTTTAAGTGTTTTTCATTGCTTGAATCAGGAGAATCTTTACAAATTAAAGTTATTCTTTTTTGCACAATTTTAAACAGGTATTACAGGAACAACTGAAGCAGTTAAGGAGATTACACTGGAAAGCAAGGTACTGGTTAATTAGATATGTTCCTAAATTCAACGACCAAGTTATTTGCATATAAATATATATTTTTAAGATTATGCATATCATTCTTATTCAAACTGATTACTTATTATCAAGTTCTTTTATATTCTACCTTTTTCCCTCTCATTTTTATGTATCAGCATACCCAAACACTGGTTTCCAGTGTTTTTCTTCTTTTCCTTAATCTGTCATATGGTTAAGAAAAACATTTTTTGATATTGTAGCTGGTAAAAACTATTTTTACTAATTGAGAAAGCTTGTAGGCTAGTTTAAAAGAAATAGCTATTTATTTATTTACTTATTTTTAAGAAATAGCTTTTTATTTTTAAGTCTAAGTACCAAGTGTTCTGTAAGTAGAAGCTTTTGAAGTAATTTTATCTACTTGCTGACTAATCATTACATTGTAGATGGTAATGATTAAATTTTGTAGTTTAACATTAAGCAATTTACTCACTACCTCTTGTTTCTTAATTTACTGCTAATATGAGTGGTTTTTTGCTTTTGAAAATTTAAAGGTAAACTTTAGCATCATTCATAATCATGACATTTTGAATCATGAGTGATAGCTAAATAAGTTAGGTTTTATTGTACAGTTTGGGGGGAAGGTAAAAATATATAATTGGGTGGAATTTTTCTGCTTGAAAGTTTTCATTTAATTCAAACTACATTAGCTTTTCATTTCTAAAGAGAGTGATTGCAGTTGTCTTTATATTTTTATGTAGATGTTTGAAATTATATGAAAAAATAATACAAAATGCCTTTACCCTAATCTTTTCTTAATTTTTTTGTTAACAGTCAAGTCTCTTAGTAGAATATTTAGACAGAATAATTGCATGCCTTTTTTCCTTATGAAACATTCAGCCACAATAGTTAGTAGTTTAAGATATTCTTCTTTGTGTTTTTGTCATTTGAACCTTTTGGTATTCATAACTGGGGCTTAACAGAAAGGGTTAAAAACTAAAACAAGGTGTGTTTTTTGCTTTGTTGTGTTTTTTCAGTGTACAATTTTATGCTTGCTAGAAATTGACTTTTATGCTAGCTTAGGGTGCAGTTCATCAGCCTGAGTATTTATCCTTTTGGAATGCTACTTTTTGGAGAATCTGGATAACTAAGGAGAAATTGTACAAATGGCTTTGCTGCTTCAAAAGGTCATCTTGTTTACTCCAGCCATTAGTGTATATGCTTCAGATTTTGGGAATGATAAATGGTAGAGTACTTTGGATAACATTGTTTTGATAGGTTTATGGGAATTCTTTCAAGAATTTTTAATAAATGCAGTAGTGGTTAATATGGTACTTGGTATCCCACTTAACATCTTTACGTCCTTCTAAAGAATGAATACTTTGAACAATTTGCAGCTAGAATATAGCTTTCCTGTTATTTCCTATTTAATATAAAATTTGCATTATTTTTTTATAATTTAGTGCTTAGAATACTTGCCATCGAGACCCCAGATATTAATCTTTGTCTCTTATTTCCACTGTATTTTATTGTATTAACTATGAACATCCAACATGATTAAAGTTTCCCTTAATGACCAGTTTGTTAGAAGTTGGCTCGTCTAATAATTACCCAGATGCTTTTTTCTGTGGTTTCACATTTTTGGTGTAATAATGACATATATGATCTAAGTTTCTAGTGATAAATAAAATCATCCCTAATTAAAATTGTAAATTAGATGAAACTAGGTGTCCAATTTTTTTTAAATATGTTTTTTATTGATTTTAGAGAGAGAGGAAGGAAGAGGGAGAGAGAGAGAGAAACATCAATGATGAGAGAGTGTCATTGATCAGCTGCCTCTTGCACACCCCCTGCTGGGGATCAAGCCAGCAACCCAGGCATGTGCCCTGATGGGGAATCGAACCATTACCTCCTGGTTCATAGGTTGATGCTCAACCACTGAGACACTGGCTGGGCAAGAGGTCCAATTTTTTGGCTTACGACATTGACTTCAGATTTTTAGAGTATTTATTTGTGAAAATGATAAATGTATATTAGGCTTATCTTTGGCTAGCATTATTCTTTCATTCTAGTGATAATATAGTTAAGAAATCTAACAAATCTTATGTGTTGTAATAGCTGTAATTGCTTAATTCAGCCAGTGTATTCATAAATTAGAATATATTATGATTTATAAATCCTTTATGTGTTTAAGTTAACAGAACTGATTTCTAATACTAATGAATTGGTTAACTAAAAATACTGTTTTATTGGAAGTACACTGGCAGCTATTTTTACGTGATTAGCTTAGATGATTCTTGGTGCTTCTGTAATGCTTCTTATACTTTTCAGTCATAACACTTAGCACATCACTTTTAATGATTGTTTTTTGGGTTTGTCATCTCATAGGAGGAGTTTCTTGAGGATAAGAGCTATCTTATCACTCTTATTTTCACTGGTTAGCACTGTGCTGGCATGTGGGTGCTCAGTATTTGAACTAATGAACATATTTAAGTGACTTTGAGTATAATTAATTTCAAAGGACAGTATAAAACTTCAAGATTGCTCAGCATTATGTGAGGAGGAGGAAGAAGAAGAGGAAGGAGAAGCTGCAGATATGGAAGGTATCTGTGTTCCAGATTTGCTTTAATCTCACTAGAATATTGATTTGGAAGTATTTGTAATTTATGCAGATTAAGAATTCTCTGTTCAGTTCTAAATTTTAACATTCAGCAAATTTTTATTGAGCAATACATTATGTATCAGATACCTTTTGGTGCTGGAGATAAAGTGATAAACAAAAAACAATACATAAGCAAAACACTTGCTGCAGTAGTTATAATTGTTTGGGAGAAAAATAAAGGGGAGGATAAGGGAGTCTGGGAGTGAGATGAATGTTATAATTTTTAAGTAGGTTGGTCAAAAAAACCTCATTGAGAATATGCCTTAATACACCTTTTGAGTAAAGCCTGGAAGGAAGTGAGTGAACAAGCTATTTGGATATCTGAGGAGGGAACGCAGAGGCTCTGAGATGGGAGCATGTGTGGCTTATAAAATATTGTGAGAAGGCTCCTATGTTCAGAGAGATGTGAGGGCAGAGCCAGAGAGGTAACCTGGGTGCAGATCATGTAGGGTCCTGGCTTTAACTCAGAAGTGAGATGAGAAGCCACTGGAGGGCTTTTCTAAGTAGAAGAGTGACTTAGAATGAGATTTAACATTTTAACAGTGTGACTGCAGTGTTGAGAATAGACTAAAGGGGGGTAGGATGACAGGAGACTATTTTGATAATCTAGGCAAAACATGGCGGTAGCTTAGACTCAAGTGGTAACATTGGAAGTTATGAGAAACAGTTCTGGATGTATTTGAGGGTTGTGGGGGGGGTGGGGCAAAAGATTTGCTGCTGGAATAGATGTGGCGTAAAAGAGACAAAATAGTCAAGCGTCACTACAAGATTTTTCACTGTCCATCTGGAATGATGTCGTTAACTGTGATTGGGAAAATTTTAGCACTGAATGGCTTTGGAGGGGGAGTTGGGAGCTTGGTTTTGGACATGTGATATTTGTGATGCCCCTTAGTCATTTGTTGAAGCCATAAGTTAAGCAGTTAGGTATCCCAAGCCTGTAGTCAGGGAATAAATTTGGGAATCATCAGCATTTAAATCCATTGAGACTAGTGAAATTATCAAGGAGTAAATGTGGATAGAGAAGAGAACAAGGTCCAAAAAACTGAGCCTTCGTTACTGCAGAGTTGTTTTGGTTTGGTTTGGTTTTTAAATGGTCGAGATGATGCAGAAGAACCAAATAGGAGATAGTGAAGAAAAAGCTACTGAAGCGAGAGGAAAGTCTGGAAAATACAGTATCTTAAAAGCCGAGGGATGTCAATTAAGATGAAAACTGGGGCTATAGCACTGGATTCAGCAAAGTAGAAGTCACTGATGACTTTAATGAGCATGTTTTATGCAGTTATATAAATAGCCTTATGTATGTTATGGAGTCAGTTGGTATTAATAATGGACTGTAGCACAGACCAAGCCTTAATATGCTTTCTCCAATCTGGCTCTCTGCCAGGTAAAGTATCTGCTGCTTTAGAAATGTGTATCGAATTAGCTCACTTATATTTATTCATTATCTTCAGTTAGAAACAAAGGCAAAAAACCAGTTTTTCATTGATACTCTGAAGTAATATATAATTTGATTTATGAAATTATTTTGAACTCAATCTTTTATTGCTTTTTGTAACAGAATATGAAGAAAGTGGATTGTTGGAAACAGATGAGGTTTGTAAATTGAGTTTTCTTCAGTTAATTTTTAATGAATAAACTTGGGGGTTAGTGTTTTTATTAATATCTTTATATTTTAAATAAGTTTTTATCCATATGTATACATTAGTTATAGCATAAAACATTTTGAGTTTTAAGTTATAGGTGCTTTTGAAAAAGAAATATATAGGTTGAGAAAAATAGATTTTTTTCTAAAGTGTCACATTCATACTGATATTAATGACTGTAAATTTTTGTCTCTTATTGACAGGCTACCCTAGACACAAGGAAAATAGTAGAAGCTTGTAAAGCTAAAACTGATGCTGGAGGCGAAGATGCTATTTTGCAAACCAGAACGTATGACCTTTATATCACTTACGATAAGTATTATCAGACGCCACGACTATGGTTGTTCGGCTATGACGAGGTAAAAATAAAGAAAAATTTATTTTAATGTAAATACTTTCAATTCTTGGGTTTAATTCCTTTATCGTTAGGTCTATGGATATATAGTGTGGCCTTTTAAATTTTAGAAATCATTTGCTTTACAATTTATGGTTAATATTGCACTTGATTCTTATTTTGAAGAAACTCTGAATTCAATGTGACAACATCACTACTAAAAATTAAACATAAATAATCTGTTACATATTTATTGCTTGGTCCCTGAGCTTATTCTTCAAAATGTGAGGGAAATTGAACTTTGTTGTATTAAATTTATTGAATATGTAGGCAATTACAGAATGATCATGTCACGTGTGTGGTTTTTTCCTTAAGACAGAAAACTTTTTTTTTTGACTCATCCACTTAATTGAATTAAAGGATAACTAAAATAAAATTAACTTGTTTATCCTGTCATTCCAATGACTATAAATAGGAAACAAGAAAATAAAACAAAATAGGCCTAAAAGATGAATTATAGTTATAAAATGTTTGGATAACTGTGAACCTGCCTTTTTGTGGGATCTTTACTACGTTAGGTAGTGGTTGATGTCACATAGCTTGATGGACAGACAGACATCCATCTTCCTTTCTTGGTATAAACTTTCCCCCAAATAATCTTGTAATTCTAAATAGTCTGGAATTCTGAATTGCAAGTTTTAAATGGTAATTTCAAAGCATTTTTTGTGGTTTCAGCAACGGCAGCCTTTAACAGTTGAGCATATGTATGAAGACATCAGTCAAGATCATGTGAAGAAAACAGTGACCATTGAAAATCACCCTCATCTCCCACCACCTCCTATGTGTTCAGTTCACCCATGCAGGTGTGTGTGTGTGTGTGTACTTCATGGATTTATTAGAGTTTATAAATGTAGTGCCCTAACAAAAAAAATTTACTGAATATACAAAGAAAATTTCTTCTGTCTTTCTTAGAAATGTTCTTATAATGTTCTTATACTTAGTTAAATATGTAAGAAAAAAACTTTATAAATTTATTTTAAGTTTCATTACAAAATTCATTAAGAATTTTTTTTGTTCTTGTGTTTAGTTATGGTATAGATCTTTGTGATTTTACTATTGTTTTTAACTCCCAAGAATAATTTAGACAATCCTTTTTATATTAAAAATATTACTTAGACATGGTTTTCTCTATTATGATGTATCTTTCTGTGAATATGGAGTATAGTTAACCTTGTGCTTTTTCTAAGTGACCTGTTTATCTCCTTTTATCGATTAGTGAAGGGAGCTATATATGTGAACTTTCTAGTCTCATTTACTCTTCAGTTAAGAAGTTTTCAGCCCTACCAAGTCAAGTATATTTTATAACTTGGGATTTTCTTTATATCAATGTGTTTTCACAGAACCAAATAAGTGAAGCTGAATCTATGTACATGATTTGTTCAGAAGTTTCCTTAAAAAGGAAAAAAGGTGTTATGTGCTAATTTCTTTGTTAGTTGTTTCTAATGGGTAACTTTTACAAAATAATTGAGAAATTCTTGCAACAATATTTTTCAGATGAAAACTCTGATAGTCCATTGATTCATTTGATGCAACATTCTTGTTTTAAAAAATTCTTTAATATTTTCTTCTCATTTTTTACAGCCTGTTTATTCTCAAACTTTATCCCATAGAAAGTCTAGTACATTTTTCTAGTTTATGTCAAGAAATGTTAATATTGCTGTGAAAAGGCATTCATGATTCATTAGTTTTAGTTTTGAATTATTTAACCTAAAAGATTATTATTTTTGAGAGTTTTAGTTTGAGGTTTTAGAATAGTGCTTATTAAACTGAGACATGTCTCTTTCTGAGGTGTAAATTTTACTCAGTAAAAGAGATAAGTAAGTTAACTGGAAATTAATTTTAAACATTTTAATGACTATATTATGGAATAAAATGTAAATATGGCAAAAAAATCTCAGGGTCTGTAAAATGAGACTTCAAGGACATTTTAGGCTTTGCCTTTATTCACCTCACATTATGCCTTCATAGCTTCAGAGTTAATAGATTTACTCTCATCTTCTAAGTTCAGTGCCTCTGTTATAAATGTTATATTCATAAAACTGGAAGCATCATTTTTTTAAGCCAGGGTCATATAAAAGATCATTCATTACTTTTGTGCATTGTCCTTTTCTCCACTTACGTGCCCAGGCAATTACTCTTTTGTATAGCACACCAGTTGGCTATGAAAAGATTTGTGGATAGGACAAAAACTTCGGATAAATATCATTCTCTATAGAAAGCCAAAAATATTTTTTAATAGAATCAGATAAATTTTACAGTACAAATGAGGACAAAGAAAAAATATACACTTCTTGACCAATTAGCTTTTTTAAAATTTAGTTTTGGCTTATTCTCAGCTAAATATTTAAACAGTGAAAATCACAGCATTATAAATATCTCTCCCTTTTTTTTGACCAGCTGTTACCATACATGGTCTGATTTTTTTGTTTCTCAGCAGACAGCCCTTGCTCTGCAGTTCTGTCCTGGCATGATTTTCCTTTCTCTGGTTTTCTCCTCCCCCGGCCTCCCCAGCTTTCTGCCCCCATTATGGGAAAGCTAACTTGTGCCATTGTGTTCATTTGTGACTACCAGAGCTTTTTAATATTACCCCCCTCCAATAAAACTATCTTCATGACTCAACATTCTGACTTGTTGGGGAGTAGGGAGAATGTCTTATAATGTAACTATTATATATTAAAACTAATTCACTGACAGTAAGATTTCTTTATAAACAAAAACTCATATTTTGGTCTAATCTATATTCATAAGATTTATTCTTTTGCTTTTAGGCATGCTGAGGTGATGAAGAAAATCATTGAGACCGTTGCAGAAGGAGGGGGAGAACTTGGTGTTCATATGTATCCTTACCTGTTTATGTGATTAGTGGCAAATTGGCTCCTAGGATTTTTTTTTTTTTT